GATAGATAGATAGATAGATAGATAGATAGATAGATAGATAGATAGATAGATAGATAGATAGATAGATAGATAGATAGATAGATAGATAGATAGATAGATAGATAGATAGATAGATAGATAGATAGATAGATAGATAGATAGATAGATAGATAGATAGATAGATAGATAGATAGATAGATAGATAGATAGATAGGTATAATTACATTGGCTTGTACAGATGTGCGTTCATGTTCAAACAGTAAATATAACAATATTTTGATTGTGCGGGTTTTTGTGTGATGTGGCGGGTTTTAACAGATTTTTGTGCTGAAAACCTCGACACTATCCGGCAACATGTAACTGTTTTTTTCCCCACTTTGGAGTAAGCTGTTGGGGGAGAAGCAATTTTGTTTGGTGTGTCCTCAGACTGATGAAGCTTTCCGGATCGAAGGCAAAACATTTCAACACAAAAAAAAAGAAACTGTCCAGATGACATGACTGAAAAATGTTGGATTTTATACCTGGATTATTGAGCATGGACTTTGTTGTTTTCAACCAGTTTGACAAGACTGTCAATAAGGAAGAGGGCCGGCAATGGAGGAGGGGCGTACCAAAGAGACCATCTTATCACAAGCAGAACTGGTTTGTTCCACTTTGGAGTAAGCTGTTGGGGGAAGAATCAGTTTTGTTGTGTGTTTCCTTGACTGATGAAGCCTTCTGGATCGAAGGTGAAACATTTCAGCACAAAAAAGAAAAAAAAAAAACTATCCAGATGACCTGACTGAAAAATGTTGGATTGTTTTTGTTTGTTTTTGGTCAATTGCTGGCAGACATCTTTAACACCTCACTTACCCTGGAGACAGTTCCCACCATGCCTGAAGACTGCCACCATCATCGCAGTCCCAAAAAGCTCTAAAGTGACTGGTCTGAATGACTATCGGCCAGTGGCCCTCACCCCGATAGTCGCTAAATGCTTTGAAAAACTGGTCATGACTCACATCAAAACAACCATCAACATCAACGAGGACCCTCATCAGTATGCATACCGTGAGAACCGATCAACAGAGGATGCCATCTCCTCTGTGGTCCACACTGTGCTCAACCACCTGGAGCAGAAAAACTCTTACGTCCGTATGCTCTTTGT